TCTGGCATGATGCACATATGCAAACTGCCATTCACTTGCTTTCATGTAAGTGCATAATACTTTGAGCTACTATTAGTGCGCTGGTAGGCAAATAGTTGTGGTAGCACAAGGGTTAATTATGTTGCGGCTGGTCAGAGTTTGCTAGCCAGCCACCACATTAAAGTAATGTAATAAATAAACAATTACATAGTTACATAGGCTGACAAAGGCATGCATCCATTAAATTCAGCCATTTTCACACCCAGTTTGAAGCACTTTCCAAACTAGGAAAAATGTCTTCTCAACTCAAGATCAGGAGTCAGATTTCTCCATGGATCAAAAAGCTCTTACCCCACATATTCAAACATATTATGTTTTTGCAAGTGTTCATCCAGTTGCTGCTTAAACATCAGTACAGGTTGTGATAAAATGACCTCTTCAGGCAGATAATTTAACATCCTTACTGTTATTACTGTAAAAAAACAAATGTTTATTTTTGTTATACTCCTTTCTTCCACTATAACTGTCTAACCTCATGTCCTATGTATAGTCCTGCTTATGAAAAGACTTCCAGACAATAGTTTGGATTGGCCCAGAATATATTTGCATAATGTTATAAAATCCCCTTTTAAGTGCAGTTTTTCTACACTAAACTGATTTAAATTTGTTAACGCTCCTTCAGAACCAAAATCTTCCATTCCTTTTGTTAATTTTCCATCCGGCAAATATCTTTAGAACAGGTGCTCAAAATTGCACAGCATTATTAAGCTCACAGGTCTATGATTTCCAGTCAAAGAATTTGAACCACAGCTGACTTTCTCCAATCCTCTGGTATAATTCCTGAAAGAAAATAATACTGAAAGATTAAAAACAGAGGTTTGATTATTTCCATACTTTGCTCCTTAAGTACGCATGGGTAAGTACTAGATTTTATATTTTATATACTTAAAACATTTTTGTGGGTTAGTGTTGCTTTCTTTGGTTATCACATTCTCATTTTCTAGTTTAGACTATCTAATCGCCTTTTTGCATGCATTATTTGCTTCCTAATATCTCATATAGGATGCCTCTGATTTATCTGATTTTAATGCTTGAAATGCCCTTTTCTTATTTTTAATGTCTTGGTTATCCTCCAAATAAGACACATTCAGTTTGTACATTTCTAATATTTGTTAGACAATATTCCATTTATTCTCAGTATGTCTTTTCACAGAGTTTATGCTAGTCAATGAGTTGTAAAGCTTCACTTATCTTAGTGAAATTGGCCTTATATATGTATTATATGTGTTGTGGAAATGAAATATTGACATATTTTTTAGTTAGTAAAATGTCTATTTACTCATCTAACCAAAATCAGTGTATAAGCTATTAACACAAGATTAGACAAAATGGCCACTAGAAGCTTTCAACCCCTCCCTCCCTCTAACACTGACTAACTACCTTGTGTAACAAGATGGCGCTGGAATCTGGGGGAGACCCTCATGGTCCCAGTGACATCACCCTCAGTAAGCAGAGCATTAAGAAGACCACTTAACACCTAACCAATTATTGATGTATTAATCCATGTTATCTCTGACAATGCTTATGATGTAATTTTGCTTTAAAAAAGTTTTTCATCAACCTGAAACCTGTGTCTGGTGTGAATTACTTCAGGGAGCGTGCACGCATTGTTTCTTAATTTGGCCAGGGGCAGATACACAAAAATAATCAATATATTGATTGATTTCCACTTCAATATGTTTTAGTATACCCCACGTGCATTTGCATTTTTGCGTATATTTCAAAAGACAACATTTTCAAACTTTAAGAAATCGATCTAGATGAAAATTCTTGTTCTTGGGTAGAACAGTGGCTTACAAATAGAGTACAAAGAGTTGTCATTAATGGTAAATTTTCAAGCTTGACAGAGGTGGCAAGTGGTGTCCCTCAAGGTTCTGTTCTGGGACCCCTTCTATTTAACATGTTTATAAATGATCTTGAAAAAAGCATTGAAAGTCATGTTTCAGTGTTTGCAGATGACACAAAACTCTGTAAAGTAATACAATGTGAGCAAGATATTACTTTGCTGCAGAGGGATTTAGATAGACTGGGCACTCAAATGGCAGATTAAATTTAATATTGAAAAATACAAAGTTATTCACTTCAGCGTAAAGAATGCACAAGCAACCTATTCCCTTAATGGAAGCGAATTAGGGATAACAACACATGAAAAGGACTTGGAAATTGCTATAGACAACAAACTATGCAACAATGTGCTATGTCAATCAGCAGTGGCTAAGGCCAGTAAGGTATTGTCATGCATGAAAAAGGTCATTAATTCTCGGGATGAGAATAAGATTTTGCTTCTTTATAAATCACCGGTAAGACCACATCTTGAATATGCTGTGCAATTTTGGGCACCTGTTCTAAAGAAGGATATTACTAGCAAAAGTGCAGAGGCAGGCTACACAATTAATAAAAGGAATGGAACATTTCAGCAATAAGGAAAGGTAACAAATTTAAACCTCTTTAGTTTAGAAAAACGTCACCTCAGAGAGGAGATATGATAACATTATACAAATATATCCAGGGACAATACAAACCTTTGTGTGGAAATCTGTCCACAAAGCGGACTTTACATAGGACACAAGCTCATGCGTTTAGACTGGAAGAAAGAAGATTTATTTTAAAGCAAAGAAAAGGTTTTTTTCACTGTAAGAGCAATAAGATGTGGAATTCTCTGCCTGAAGAAGTAGTTTTATCAGAGTCTGTACAAATGTTCAAACAGCAACTAAATGCATACTTGCAAAAACAGAATATTCAAGGATATAATCTTTCAATGTAGGGTAATAGTTTCTTGATCCAAGAATTAATCTGACTGTTACTCTGGGGTCAAGAAGGAATTTTGTTTCCTAGTTTGTTGCAAAATTGGAAGTGCTTCAAACTGTTTTTTTTTTTTGCCTTCTTTTGGATCAACAGCAAAAAACAAATGTGAGGAAGGCTGAACTTGATGGACGCAATTCTCTTTTCAGCTATGTAACTATGAAACTATATGTAACTATGTAACTATATTTTGTGATCATTATTTTACAAGGGCTCCCTTAATGTCTGTAAAAGGATATAATTGTTTGTTATAACTGGATCCAGACTAGAAACCTTTCTAGGTGCTTCTACCAATTGTGAAACTAGGTTTTATTTAATATGTTCAAAAACCTGATTCCCCTTTTCTGAACTATTAGTCCCTCTATCCCAATATGTGTCCAGGTAATTTACATTTCCAATAATTAAAGTGTTTCCCAGATATGCAGGTTTCCAATTTTGCTTTAACAGATTCTTCATCAATATCAACATTAGGTGTTTTAAAACATATCCCAACCAATAATTGATTTTATTCCTTTTTGCCTCAAGCAGATATCTACCCATAAAGCTTCTACATTTTCCACATTTTCCTTGTCACATTTCATTTGCTTAATATTTTCCTTTAACTCATGGTTGAAAATCCCTGATCAGCCACAATATGAAAACCAGCTGCCTAATATCTTGTATGTCTCCCTTGTGCTTCCAAAACAGCTCTGATAGGTCAAGGCATGAACTCCACAAGATAAATGGGATCTGCTGCACAGGAGGTGTAGTAGTAAAAAATCCAGGAGCTGATAAATATTAAAGGATAGTAATTGCAGGAAATCGGATAAATAGAAAATTATGTATATACACAAACTATATATGTATGGCAGAGTTATCTCATAACCCAGAAAACAGAATTCTGGAAAAGGGATAATATGTGCCAAATAATATACTTTCTACCTATAGAGGAAGAAAATAAATGATTGAGTTAACTATCACTTAATACAATGTGATAGAGAAATGTCTGTAGTTGGGCAAAAAGCCAGTACATAGAGCTGGCTGCCCTGAGCAATAGATAAAATGTATCGCCAAAGAATAAGTTAAAAAGTAACAAAAATTTATTGAAACATGAAAATATATTAAAAATAAGTCCACATAGAGAGCAATAGAAGTGAGGAGGGTAAAATATACACAGTAACCTTAAGCACCGGCACGGATGGATTCAGATTGCGATGTTGATGCAGTAGCTGGCATCTGGTGACCGGTGAGGTCGGTCTGCGTTCCACAGTGTGTTCCACCCCGAGCCTCACTTCGGGGGAGCTGCGCTGCTGATCAGATGTTGCGATCAGAACACCAGTGATCGGGAGAGTTGCCGGGCTGCTGTGCTGACACCTCCTATCTCTCGTCTTTGTGTGGACAATCTGTAACCTCGAGCTTCGTCTGACGCGTTTCGTAGGGGTAGCCCTACTTCCTCAGAGACATCTGCATTCACTCCCTTATGGGGATGCTTATATACCACTCTCTCTATCCCCAATTGGTTAATTGAAGGATGAGTACATCGTGATGCATTCAATATATCGCTTTGGCTGTGATACATACATTATACAAATAAAATAAACAATGTATACATACATATAAACATATTTTATATAATATATACATATATATGAGAAGAATTATATTCATGACATTAATCAAAAATTGTGTACATAAATTAAACTGATGACAATATTTATTACACTAAAATATCAATAAAATATCAATTTGCAGCTGCTGTTTTTATCTAAAAATAAATGAATTAATATCCTACATAAATCTTATGTCACATTAGATGGTCATACCCTAAATGTACAGTAGAGCAATAGCACAATGTTTACTTATTAGAAATGCATATCATTCAAAAATTGCTTTACTGTTTGTAGGGTTACTTCTTTTATGCATTTGCTGTTGTCTGTAACGAAATCAAAATCATATTAGTCATTGAGTCTCATATAAGGTGCTCCTTCAGTGTATATACAGGATAGATGAATCTAGATATATGTAACAAAAACAGAATAGAAATAAGCAAAAAATAATAAAAATAAAAATAAAGTAAAAATAAATATAAATATAAAAATACAAACAGGGGGGGCGTGTCTTAGCGGCGGACGAGGACGGATGCGTGAGTGCTGAGCTCCTCTGCTGTATGGTGTTCGCAGCATAGTCACGGCGTACACCCGACCGCAAAAAACAACAGAACGGCGGGTAAACACCTGCCGCATACCACAGATACAAATGGCGACGAAATCGTGCAAGAAGTTGAAGCAGAAAATGCTTCAAATGCACCTCACCTCGGCCACCATGCTGGATATGGCGGGACAAGATGGCGCCGACGGCCCGAGCTCACCAACCTCCATTTCGGAAGTAAGTGATCCTGCTCACAGCATGGCTGACTACTCTGCCCCAGTTACAACTGCCACTCTCAAATCCTTACTTGCAGACCTCAAATCCACATTCCACACAGACCTCATGCAAATAGCATCAGACATCAGGTCAGACATACAACAAGTGGGAGACAGGACTGCAAAGTTAGAAGAAAGGGAAGATGAAATAACAGACGCCCATAACTCTCTGGCAGACGCTTATACTGAACTACAAGACAAAATTAAAAAGCTAGAAGACAAAGTGGCCGACCATGAGGATAGAGATCGGCGTAATAACATCAGGCTGAGGGGGATCCCAGAATCAGTGACACCGCAAGAGCTGCAATCCTACGTACAAGGCATCTTTAAAGAATATGTGCCAGAATTAACGGATGGAGAGCTCTTACTCGATCGGACCCACAGGTTGCCCAAACCAAAACATCTGGGCCCACAAACCCCCAGAGATGTAATCACGAAGTTACATTACTTTACTACTAAAGAAAGAGTTATGCATGCAGCGCGACGAAACCCTCCCCCACCGGGGCGATTCAATCAAATTAAGCTATTTATTGATCTATCTGCATCGACGATGATGAAAAGGAAAGCCTTTGCCCCCATCACTGCAGCACTACGAGAGGCAAATATTCAGTACAAGTGGGGCTTCCCAACCAGACTCTTAATCAAACGCAATGGGACAGATTCCAGTATTGCTTCTCCCGAAGAAGGAAGGAAAATATTGCGGGCCTGGGACATTCCTCTCACTACCACGACGGCTCCCGCACCACAACACACCAAATCACCAGTGAAATTAAATAAAGTTTGGACTCAAGTGCCACGCGGCCGACCACAAGAACCTACATGACCTCTACAAAGGGACGATAAGTATACTCATTTGATGTGCCTAACCTATGTCACACTGCTATACTACTGTTGATAGAAAAAAAAAAAAAAAAAAAAAAGAAAAAAAAAAAAAAGAGAATCAATAGAGAACAACACTGCCTGTATATACCTAAACCGTGTATGCCTTGTCATGGTCTCAGCAATTGTAACACCGTACGGAGCACTACGCAGTACGGATCTCTTATGTGCGTAGACCCACCAATCTGTTGCTGGTCACCTGCCCCCCAAAGTGGCTTAATTTTGAGCCGCATCATTAACCGTTTTCCACCTTTTGGTCGAATTCGTTTGACCGACGGTTTTATGTACATAGTTTGCATGTTTTTTCTTATGTTTTTACCCTCTTTTTTGTGTTTGTGTTCTGATAACCATGATTTTAGTGTACAGACTTGGCTTATTCTCAAGACCCTAGGGATACCAGTATCACCCCTCCACTTTATCCACCCATGGGACCTAAATACCAGGCCACTACATATACCTTATCTACCAGGTATAAATTGGGATGACCGACATATATGCTGGACCTTTGGTCGCCGGGCAACGCCCACAGATGGGTGGGAGATTCACCGACTCGCGAAGGGAGGGCTAGATGGTCCCAATCCCACTTGTAACATGAGACTGCTGAACATACACCATGGTGCTTAATATCTGTTCCCTGAATGCCAAGGGGCTCAATTCTCCGCACAAGAGGCGACTAGCGCTAAAGGAGGTTAAATCCCTAGATGCCCATGTGGCATTCTTTCAAGAAACACATTTTAAATGGGGCCAACGTCCAAAATTTACTTCCATAGCATACCCCATAGACTACCATGCTTGCTATGCAAAAAAGAAAAGAGGAGTGTCCATCTTAATAAGCAAAGATGTGGCTTTCTCCCTAGTTCGTAAACTTGGAGACAAAAAAGGCAGATATATAGTGTTACAATGCTATGTTAACAACAACCCATATACGTTTATAAATGTGTATAGCCCTAATGATCAGCAAATTGATTTCTTGGAACTGGTTTTGTTGCTCTGTACCAAACACGCCTTTGGAGAGGTGATAGTGGGGGGGGACACAAATTTTTTGTTAGATGATTGTCTAGACTCTTCACACCAGAAACCCCTACAGTCCCAGACCATCAAAGCCAGGAGGAAACTAATTACTCGCATTAGGCACACCCTTACAGCGCACAATTATGTAGATCCATGGCGCATACAACACCCTAGCGAAAGGGACTTTACTTGCCACTCAGCAGCGCACAATTGCTATTCCAGGATAGACCGATTTCTGGTTCCCTTAAGGATGCTCCCCAAAATAGAAAGTACCCACATCGGACTCATTAGCTGGTCGGATCACGCACCGGTTACTATGTCCCTGACAGAAAGATTCCAAACTAAAGGCCGAGGCAGCTGGCGCTTAAATGATTGGCTATTGAAAGACCCGAGTGTAATAGACCAGGTTAAACAAGATCTACAGCACTACTTCCAAGACAATACAGAGCAAAATTCCACCCCGGATCAAATCTGGTTAGCACACAAAGCAGTTATTAGAGGGTGCTTCATTAAACACGCTAGTTACGCCAAAAAGAAACGCCTCGAGAACTACACTAACATCCTGAAGGAACTTGCTGAGGCCACACACTCAAATAAACTAACTCCAACCCCCACTCACCATGCCACTATCTTACGACTGCAGAACCAATTTCGCGACTAGGAACTGTCTAAGCCAACGACACTGCTAAGACGCATGAAACATAACTTCTTTGCGTCAGGTAACAGAGCAGGAGCCAAATTGGCTTCCCAGCTAAAAACACGTTCCACAGCTACTAAACTCTCACACCTCCTGGACGCTAAAGGAGGGAAAATACTAGACCCGCAACACATAGCAGACACGTTTGCTACCTACTACAGCAAATTATACAATCTCAACACAGATCCACAAGTGCCCACCCCCGCCACCACAGAAATAAACAGGTTCCTATCAGACTTTACGCTCCAGTCTCTGAGCGAGGACGACGCGGATTCCCTCCTCACCCCTCTCACCATAGAGGAGATATCTGCCACAATTTAATCCCTTCCGACGCAGAAAGCGCCCGGACCAGATGGTCTGTCTAACGCCTACTACCGCACGTACCAAACAACACTAGCCCCCCATTTACTGAACCTTTTCAATCACAGCATACAAAAAGGGACGCTACCGGACGAATTATTGTTAGCCCATATCTCGACGTTGCCCAAACCAGGGAAACCACCGACAGAGTGCAAAAACTTTAGACCCATCTCCCTTCTCAACTGTGACGCAAAGATATATGCCAAAATTCTCAGTAACAGACTGGCCAAATTCCTGCCCAAACTCATACACAATGACCAAACCGGTTTTATCAAAGGCAGGCAGGGTTCAGACAATTCCAGGAAGGTATTGAATCTCTTAGCAGAACTAGAAAGAACCAAAGGCCAAGGCCTCTTCTTGGTGCTGGACGCAGAAAAGGCCTTTGATAGGCTCAACTGGGCTTATATGCAGAAGGTTCTCCACAAATTTGGCTTTCCTCCTCTTATCATATCCCAAATCATGGCACTATACACCACCCCAGCTGCCAAAGTGTCCTGTGGCGGTTTCCTCTCCTCGAAGTTCCACATAACGAATGGAACTAGACAGGGCTGCCCACTCTCTCCCCTGTTGTATATCCTCTCCCTAGAACCCCTGGCCCAAAAGATCAGGGATCACGAACATATGCGAGGTATAACCGTTAAAGGAAAAGAATACCGTCTTTCTCTTTTTGCGGACGATGTTATAATATCCCTCTCAAACCCAAGACGGGCGCTACCTCACATTCTCGATCTGCTGACACAATTTGGAAAGGTCTCCCATTACAAATTAAACCGAGACAAAACACAGGCGCTACCTGTTAACACACCCCAAGACGATTTAGTCACCTTAAAATCCTCTTATCAATTCGACTGGAGAGTTAGCACCTTAACGTACCTGGGGGTTAAAATATCTCCTACAATAGCAGGAATTGTAAAACACAATTACACGCCTCTATTACAGTTATGCACGAAGGAGTTGGCGGGTTGGAAAACGACCCACCTATCCTGGCTAGGTAAGATTAACACGTTCAAGATGATGACACTCCCAAAACTCCTCTATGTGTTTCGCATGCTCCCTCTCCCGATACCCGCTGCACTATTTAAGGTACTACAATCTTCCTGTAACACTTTCGTTTGGGGGGGCAAAAAAGCGAGGTTGCCACTTAAGCTACTACAAAATACACCTGACAGAGGGGGAGTGGGCCTCCCTAACATCCACCTCTACTTCAAAGCAGCTGCCCTGGCAACATGTATAGCGGCACACTCACCCCAAGGCCATACACAATGGGTGGATATGGAGAGGGACCAATTTCAAGACAAGTCCATGACGGACTACCTGTGGACCCCAAAACGCCTCCGGTACAAGCACACACCTCTTTTCCCTACCACTAGGCTGACCATACTGATGTGGGATTCCTTTATGGCCCAAATAGGCTACAGTCATAAACTGCACCCCAAGGCCCCCCTAACGGCACTAAAAACCATAACCCAATCACTTTCTCTTTCCCACTGGACACGCATGGGTTTAGACAGATTTGAGCACCTCTTGGAAGACAATCGTAAGGTAATACCCTTCTCAGAACTAAGGAGGAAATGGAACGTGCCTGCCCAGGACACTTTCAAATATTTGCAAATCAGGAGTATACTGACTTCCCATGCTTTGCCCCCGCCAACTCCTACCAGCATGAATAACCCACTAATGCCCTCTCTGATTATGCTTAGATGTAGGGATACACCGAACAAGCCTAAAGCCCTCTCCATTTGCTATAGAACGTGGCTAGCAATGCCACCAGATGTACCTCCGCTGTGCAATAAACAATGGGAGGAGGACTTAGGTACGGACCTACCGGATGGTACCTGGTTGGGTGCCCTGAACGGCCTGTCCAAATGGACAAAATGTTATTCCCACATAGAAGCCCACAAAAAACTACTATACAGATGGTACCTTACCCCGACCAAGCTACACAAAATATACCCAACTGTGTCTCCCCTGTGCTGGAGATGTGGAGTGGAGAAGGGCACGATAATGCATATTTGGTGGTCCTGCACTGGCATCGCACCTTTGTGGGAGGATGTGGGAACACTTCTGAGGCAATTGGGACCCTCAACTTTCTCCCCGTCCATTTCCAATTGCATATTATTGATACCAGATAAAAAGGTAGAAT